ACTTTATTACAACCCCTTTGTATTTTTTTTTAAGTTTATTTATTTTTGAGAGAAAGACGGCACGAGTGGGGGGGGGAGGGCGGTGGGGGCGCGGGGCGGGGTACAGAGAGAGAAGGAGAGAGAGAGAATCCCAAGCAGGCTCTGAGCTGCCAGTGCAGGGTCAGACACGGAGCTCAAACTCACGAGACTGTGAGAGCATGACCTGAGCCGAAACCAAGAGTCGGATACTCAACCAACTGAGCCGTCTAGGCACCCCGCAAACTTTATTACAATCCTTTCAGGGGGGCACTGTTACTATCCCGCTTTGCAGATGAGAAGACCGACGCAAAGTCACGTCGGTAAGGTGTGGCAGAGCCAGGATTCAAATCCAGGCAGTGTGGCCCCGGGCCCCTTCCTGTAATAGCTGCACAATGTAGAGCTCAAGCCAAGTTGGGGACTTACGGCAGGAACTGCCAGGCTCCCCTGTCAGTCTCAAATGAAGCAGGAGCTGTCTCCCCTTTATTTCTCCAATTCTCTGTCCACGGGCTGGACACTGCCACTGTCTCTGCCCTGTCTGGGACAGCATCATGTTCTTCAAGGCTTCTTCCCCTCTGGCCGCTCCAAGCAAGCAGGAGCCACTCCAAAACATGTGGGGCCACCTTGCCTAGCTGGGCTGAGCCCTAAAACCGTGTCTCATGACGGAGACACGGTCTCTTTCCTCTCAGAGAAAAGAGAGAAGGAGAAGGAGGAAGAAGGTGAGAAGCAGATCATCGATGTCAGGGTGGTCACAGACCCCCAGGACAGAAACACCAAACTGTGTCAAGTCCGTTAAAGTAAAGAAAACAAACAAACAAACAAAACCTCAGGGGATTTGACTTCCTGGCTCATTGTTAATGTGGGATTGCTAAGGAGAACCTCGAGCCCCTGACATTTACCCCAAATTCGGGGCAGAATTATCAGAAATTAACAGGGACTAGGGAACGTGGGACGAGAAACAGTCCCCAATGTTTGGAAGCAGATGTTTCATCCCAGAGGAAGCTAAAGCCCAAGGAAGATTCCAGTCTCCTCATGACTCACCCCTTCTTCCACTCCCACCTGTGTCCAGACTCCCCACCCCAAACCCTGCAGAGCGCCCATGCTGGCAAACCATCCAGGCAGACGGTTGGTTGAGGCTGCTTCTAGCTGTGTGTCCGTGACAGCTGCTCGACCCTGAAGGGACCGGTGGTGCAGACCCCTGCCTCGGCTGGACACCAGTGAGGGGAAGGTCACTCCGTTTCCAGCCGGGACTCGGAGGCGATGTCTCCTCTGTCTCCGTGCTCCCAGAACTCCAAGTCACTTCTTCCCCCCCCCCCCCCCGCCTTTTCTCTTTTTAAAAAAAAAAAACGTCTATCACTTCAGTAGGCAATGTGGGGGGGGTTTGCCAAATTGATAGCAATTCTCGGTGCTAATAAAGTGTCAATTAAGATTGTGCTGCTAAGAGCTCGGGGGAGGTCGGTGGTTTATGCTAATGTTTTCAGTCTATTTCATATGCCTTTATGTTGAGTCGTTTCATTAGGTTTATTAAGAGCCCAATTGATACATTTCTTGTTGACTCCAAATATTCCTGAGGTGATTAATTCTGAACAATGGGGTTAATTAGTCTGCAGACTTTGGAACACTTCTTCAGGCGGGAGCTTAAGAAACCAGTTTCCGGGGAATGTAATCTCCAAAAGAATTACATCCCTTTCTTCTGAAAGGAAAGGGGGGAAATTCTCCCTAGGGAAGAAAAGATGGCTGTGATCTCACGGAGAGTTAAATGAGTGTTAAACTCCAATGGGTCTCTGGGGTTGGTTGTTTTTGTTGTTGTTGTTGTCGTTTTATTATGCCCCTTACTTGTACTTTCTGACTAGTAGGTAAATAGCTTGAATTTAGGAGGTCGGTGTATCTGGCGACAGCACCGGATGGACCCAGAGGAAGAGGCCAGTCTGGGGAACAGAAAGTGGGGATCCTCTTTCCTGGTGCTTGAATAGCTGTGTGACAGCCACCGCCCCCCCCCCCCCCCCGCCCCGCCCCCAGCAACTCCTTAGCCTCTGGGGGCATTCCTTCATCCGTAAAATGGGGACAATGACACCTGCCCTCCCCCAACACCCCCCAGCTGCTCTGAGAGTGGATGAGATCACAGGTGTGAAAGCCCTTTGAGAATAAAACCCTTTCTTTTCTTTTTTTTAACCTTTGAGAGGTTAAAAAAAAAAAAAAAAAAAGGACCCATTTTAGAAGTGGGCTTTTTTAAACTCTTTTTTTATATTATTATTCCCTCATGAAAGGGTTTCTCCTTGTAGCTGGGATTTTTCATCTCGTGTTAAAGAGAGAGAGAGAGGGAGAGAGTTTTAAAAATAGCTATTTTAATGAAAAGAACAGCTCTCCTGAAGAATTGGGCAGCCCTTTCTGCAGGCTTTGCTGCCGAAACTCACGGTCCAAATTGATTTTTTTTCCCCCTCTTCTTTAAAGGTAAGTGATGAAATACTGTGGGTTTGAAAGGGCTGACATTTGGGGTAGCAATTAAACTCAGTCCCATCTAGTCGTGCGGCAGCTGGTGGCACAGGCTCGTTATGGCGAAAGGCAGGCAGAGGATTAGGCGGTGGGCCGGGCGGCTCTCAGAAGGGCTCAGGCCCACCGTCTGCAGCCAGGTAATTAGATTTAACAAGCTGGCCTGTCCCCCTGCTGCCCCCACCCACTCCGGGCACGGCAGCCAGGCCCCGGGGACGCCCCACACCCCCGGGAGCCAGCGGGCAAGTCGCAGACCCTAATCACCGCCGTGATGGACACGGGAGATATTAATGTGGAGGTGCTAATGACCATCCCGAAGGCAGCGGTAGTTAGGGATCCAGCAAATGGGGACGGCGGGGCGTGCTGTCTCATTAGAATCAGCCCAAGGGTAAGGCGCTTCAGAGAGGTCAGTGGCACGTGATTGGAAACGTGCATAAGGGAGGGACCGGCTGGGGCATTTGACACGGGTTTCCTGTTCCCATGGAAATTCAGCTGTAACGAATCACGCTTCCGGCATGCTCTTCTCAGGAAACCCATTCCCCAGGCCTGGCTCTGGAGGGGACTGTGCGATGGCCCCGTGGAGCCCTGATGGCCAGCAGCTTGGCTGGGGAAGAATCACCTGTAGAGCGGGCTTGGGAGAGCCTAGGCCACTTTGTTCCGCTCTCCAGGTGACCCCGACATGCAGTCAGGACGGGGGCCTCCCATCTAGATGCGAGTTGATGGTTCAGCCCAGCATCCTGAGCCGACTCCAGCCTATCAGTGTCGTCAGTCAGAAGCTCCCAGTGGTGTCCAAGCGGCGCCAACACTCAAGGAAAGCTGATCCAGTCTGTCTGCTATCATTTCTCAGCCACACTCCCCAGCTCCAGAGGCAACAGTGATTTCCCGGGGCAGCAAGGTGGACCAGTGCTCTAGCTGGACATTCAAGGCCTCTGGAACTAGAGGAAGTGGAGACCGGGAGCTCAGACCTGAGCTGCCCCAGTTCCTTTTGCAGCAGCTCTATGTCTTTGCCCATCTCCAAGTCTCAGTTTGCCCATCTGTGAAAAGGGTGAGTTGGCCAATTTGAGCTCTCCATTCTCGCCAGCCTGAGCTGCCAGTGGTTTGGCCAATCTTCCCGTCCAGGTGACCTCTCCTGCGTCTCACACACACGAACCCCTACCGCTAGATGCTGCCCTCGCAACCCTCCAACCTCCAGGTGAGCCTTTGCTCTCCCATGAAATGTCCTCCAGGCCACCCTCACCTCTGCTTGTGGAAGTCCTGACCCTCCAGACATCCCAGCCTGAAGCCCTATGGTTGTCCTGTGCACTTGGTGGAGCTGTCTTCTAGAACGTCAGCGGGGATGGGGGTCCCAACTGCCACTTGGTGATGACAACGGCCATCATGCAGCACCTGACTCTCCAGGGCTCCTGCCCCGCCCTGATGTCATTGGTGGCCCCCAACAAGGAGTCACATCTACCCGTGGCGCCCACGGGAGTGGGGACAGTGGAGTCACGAGGTGAACTGACATGCCCAAGGCCACACAGTTCCTAACGGTCAGAGCCAAAACTTGAATGGCCAGCTAGTTCCAGGAATCCCCTCTCATCACCCAGTTATTTCTAGGTATGATTAACTGGTCTGTTTAGAGTTCTTCACAGATTGTGCCCCACTCCCCGGGCATGCATGCACATACTCACACACATTCACACGCACACGCGCGAGCACACACACACACACACACACACACATACACACACACTCAAGTGCTTTTCAGGTCCTCCCCCTCAGGAATTCAGTAATTGCTAGCTTAGTCCCAAGTCTCTGGACTGCATTCATGACCTTGTCACTTGAGAGGCACAGCGGAAAAGGAGTTACAAAGGAGGTTGATTGCCAAGGTCCCCTCGGCAGTTTCCCAGAGAATAGGGTCTGTGTGAACTTCCCAGGAAGGGTGGGACCCCCCCCTCCAAGGAGAGGTGGGAAGGGCCATGTGAGCATGAAGGAGGGGGCTGAGGCGAGGAGGGGAGGGGATCCCAGGGAGGAAGGTAGGGGCCAGCGTGGACTCGGCCCCAGCAGGTGCCCTGTCCCTTACGGATGACCACCCTTCACTGAGGGGAGGAGAAGATGGGGGGCTGAGGCTGGCCAGTCTCTCAGAATCGCTGTCTCCCCTCCCGCCCCCTTGCCTCGGGAGGAACAACAGATCCAGTGGGAATGGGGATCCCATTTCAGAGGATCCAGGAGATGGGGAGGAGGGGCATTGCAGAACAGCCGCTCAAATAATTCGAGGAAGTAGAGGTGGCATTTCAACTCCCCCCAAACCACCGACACGGGCTTAATGGATTGAGTGCTCACATCAGGCACTTTACAAGGAGGTTGCTTCTCATTTTCTTATTTCCTCCTCAGATCCAGTGATGTGGGAGGCAAGTCGCGGTCCTCTCAACCCCTCTGTCACCTGCGGTGGAGGACGGGGCGGGGCTGTGCTGACACTCACAAGGCACTTCTGCTTCTCCCCTCCTAGCCAGGTCCGCCCCGCCAGGAGCTTCAATCCACTGTGTGCCCAGAGATACTCAACTACAGATATCCCTCGCATCGCCCTAGGGAATGATTTGTCCAGTGGGAGACCGGGCAGAAGGAATCCGGGATGTGGACTAACCCCGCGGGGCTGCCCCTGGAGACGAGGCCTGTGATTGTCCAGGTCTGTCTGTGCCTGGAGGGTAAGTCAGGAGAAGGGGCGAGACCACTGTCCTCCGAGCCACACTCTCCACGACTCTATCTGCCCGATTCCTGTGCTACTGCTTAGCGGGTCCCAAACCAGCGTGGGGCGCAGAGCCCTAAAATAATACACGAACCTCTTTCTCTTGTTCGCATCCACTCAAGGTGAGATACCACGAAATGCAACTGGAAGAAATGTCTCGTGGGTCATTTCTGGGATGTGGGATGGGATAAGGGGACGGGAGGAGATAACACAGGAGGGGAACATCAAGGTGCAGGATGTTAGGGTCAGATGGCTTGGGATGGGCTGGGGAAACTGAGGCCACACGGTAGGGAGGCCTCTCTGTGCACAGTTGGACTCTCACCTCGGGACACACATTCAGGACGCGGCAGTCCCTTCCCTGGTTGCTCGGCAGGTGCCAGCACCGGGAGAGAGGGAGCGGACGACTCTTCAGGAGGCTGGCACGGGTCCCAAGCCATCTGTTCCCAACTTCCTCCTGCGTGGGTGGTGGCGACACGTCCCCAGCCGGCCCCCGCGCCTCTCACCAGCCGTCAACACGCCCTCACTCTCTCCTTGTGTGTGTTGTCAGATCTTCCCAATATAGCAGCCCGGAGTCTGTCAACAGTTCTGTTCCATGCCTACTTCCCCTCCCCAAAGGATGCCAAGTCTGCTGGCCCCTCCCTCGATGGGGGCATCTCCCGTCATGCCTCACTCTCAGCCCCGGCAAGAGGAGACCTCCCCAGAGGTGCTTGGAGAAGCCACCCCAGCTTCCGTCGTCTGGGTCCCTTGGATGGGACCCGGGCCAGGATGCATCTGAGTGGCACTAGGGAAGAGGAGTCCAGGCGACCGGGGATCGGCTGGACGTGGGGAAGAGGGGAGCCGAAACTGAAGGTGACACTTGGGGCTCTGACTTGAAATGACTCGGGGAAGATGGTCCTATTCACTGAGGTGGGGGGTCCTGGAGAAGGAGCGGTTTGGGGACAGAGAAAGAGAGATGAGCTTGAGATCCAGGGAGACAGAGAGGACTGAGAGCGCCTCAAGGGAATGTCCTTGTGCACATGCGGACTGGAAGCTCAGGAGAGAGGTCTGGACTTGAAGAAGGTGCCAGAAGGTGGAATGCAGTCATCCACGGGAGCACACCCATTTGCTCCAGTAGCATTCGGCAATCAGCGTTGTCACTAAAGCAATCCCAATGACTCACTTTACAGAATTCCCCTCGTGCATCCCACCAGGGTGCTGCGGGACGGACTGGCCTCTGTCCCCAGATGTCTGGGACGCATACCAGCAGCTGCCTTCTCTTTCCCCCTTCCAGCCGCCGCTGTTCCACCCTCCAGGCAACAGAGAGTGTGACCTGGTCTGAGCATCAGGAGCCCTGGACCCCATCCCAGCTTTGACCACTGACTTTGGGAATCGAAACCAATCATTTTCTCTCTTAGCCTCCACCTCCTCAACGGTGAAATGGGAACAAATATGGCAGATACTCTACACACTTAAGGAATTTGGGTGAAAACTGCCCAATGATCTGGCCAGATCCCCTGAGTCCCGTCTGCCCCCTGCCCCCACCCCGCCATGGGACCCACGGCGGATCCTGCCCCAGGTGTGTGGCACACCGTCCCCATCCTCGGTTGCCTCGTACCCCAGGGGGGCTCCAGGACACTGCTCTGGTCTCCTCCAGCCTGCACGGACCCCCCTGCCCCCATGCTTCACCAGATGACCCCGCAGATCAGAAGATACCACTAATAATGCTCATATAGTGACATTTATTGCGGCACAGGCAGCCCCTGCTTAGCTTTCAGGGCTAGCAGGAAATGGGCACAGAGTGAATCACTCTTTACAATGCATCTTGAGCAGAGCATTTGCAATGATTCCTTATTGCCGATCTTAATTGAGACCTCAGTGAGGTAGTCAGGCCTCTCCTCTCCTCTCATGCCCTCCAGCTAAGACTGTAGCTCGTGGTGACCCCTTCATCACATGACGGGATCAGAGGGGAGGGCGACTTAAGGTGGAGAGGCAGGTTGTCGTCCTCCTGGGATGCTACCCCTTCATTTCAGAAAGGGAGGTGGGGACGAAGGTTGCTAACCTGGGCCCTGAAGGTCAGCTCGTGAATCTGAGAAATGGCAGGGGCCCTTGTACCAAAGGGACACTGTCACACACAACCGTGGCCGTGGCAGATGCATATTGTTGTGTCTGCTCAGTGCCCATCTATGCCTCCCTAAGAGAAAGCCCTTCATCTGGAGAACCCTCCTCCCCCCAGGCCAGCATGCAGCCCTGGCTGTCAGTCAGAGGATGCTCCCGCCCCCTGGCCACATGGGCAGGGCATAACCCAACTCCAGAGGATAAGTCACCCCCTGAGGTTTGGCCAATCAGAACCAAAGGAAGACGATGAATCAGGGAACACGTGAGGCAGGAGTTGCTGGTGACCATGGTTCCCGTTCCTGGAAGGGGCCAATCTGCAGGAGAATAAAACATGAAAGCCATCTTAACTATTTCCGGTGGAATCTCTGTCACTTGCAACCAGCCTTCCGTTACCCTATTAGAGATGCATTCCCTCTACCAGCCTTCTGGAGACAGTTCCCATTTCATTGCTGTCTATTCCAGGCCAGCCCAGAGGGTGTGGCCTAGAGACTCAGAGCAGGGCAGACCCAGTGACCAGACCCTTCCCCTGGAGCCCCTGGCACCCCAAGGACAGAACCAACCACGCGTCCTTTCTGCCAGCCCCTTCTAGGTCATACTCTGCTGCCCTCTGCTGCCCCCTGCTGGCCACAGGCCATCATGCGCTCAACTCTTGGGGTCAGGGTAGGTTTGGGGGCTACGTCCCAGGGACCCGAAGGAGGAAGCAGAGGAAGCCCTGGGTCTCAACAGAGGCAGCCTCTCACAACCCCATCCCAATAAGAAACATCTCTGGAAATGCAAAAAGAAACAAACAAAAACTTTTACATGGGGGCTAAGAATACGGCTGTCTTCCCTTGAGTGAGAATAATACAGTAATACAAATTGGGAGTTGGCTAGGCAGATGTTGTCTTCCAAGTGAGAGCCTCTAGGCAGGTTTTCCAGGAGGCTGGAACAATGGAACATAAGGGCCGAGAGACGAATGGCTCAAAAGAGAAACGGAGTCAAGAAAATAATAGCAGCTAAGGGGAGGGTGAGCAGAAGTGAGATTCCAGGCTCCCAAGTCAGGGGACACATCACCGCGGTGATGCTGATGCACTCCAGGATGCACGACGGGGGCCCCCAAAAGCAGCCTCTCTGACCCATATTGCTCACAAATACCGAGGGGGGAAATAATAATTCACGTGTTTACAGTTTGTGGAACACGTTAGCACACCATATCACATCTGATTTCACACCACCTAAGGAGGTAACTGCTATTGTCTTCATGTTTTTTTTCTCACAAGGTAATAGGGATTCTTTTTTTTAAGTTTATTTATTTGAGAGAGAGTGCAAGCATGAGCAGGGGAGAGGGAGAGAGAGAGAGAAAGAGAGAGAGAGAATCCCAACGAGGCTCCACGCTGCCAGCACAGAACCTGACGTGGGGCTCGAACCCACGAACTGTGAGGTCATGACCTGAACCAAAACCAAGAGTTGGATGCTTAACCGACTGAGCCACCCAGACGCCCCAAAGTAATAGAGATTCTGAGAGATGTAGTGGCTTGACTGAGGCAACTTCTCTGAGCAGCAGAGCCTAGACTCGAACCCAGGGCCAACTCCAAGTCCAGGGCTCCCTCTGCTGAATGAGACCACCTCTGTGTGGGCGGGGCCAGCTTCTTTAGGGTCAAAGAATGGAACCGAGGTTCAAAAATTTGACCCTGCTATTTAGCAGCTGTGTGCCTTTGAACAAGTTACTTAACTACTCTGAGTCTCCTGCATGAGTATATCTCATGGGGTTGTTTTATTTATTCTTGTTTTAAAGATTTTATTTTTAAGAAATCTCTACACCCAACGTGGGGCTCGAACTTACAACCCCAAGATCAAGAGTCCCATGCTCTACACACTGAGCCAGCCAAGCATCCTCATGGGGTTGTTTTAAACCTCGTATGTCAATGTATGTAAATTACCCAAAGCAGGGCTTGACATTCAGTAGATACAATTACAATGGTCACAAACATTAGCACACACATATTTCTAAATGCAATTCTCCCCGGGTATTTAGTCTGACTTTGTGTTTTCCTGGTGAAATCAAATTCAAGGAGTCTACCCTGTAGCTCTATCTCATCATCTTAACCATAGGAAAGAAGGCCCCAGAGACACCTCAGCTCCAAAGCAAGTTGATTGCTTTACTATTTATTTCACAGATGAGAAACTGAGGCTCCAAGAAGTTGAGTCCTTCCTTCAAGGTCACACAGATCATACGTGGTAGAACCGGGACATAAACCCACGTCTGACCCCAAAGCCCTCACTCTTTCACGAACTCTATGAGGTTGGCCTGTGGCAATGGGAAGGAGTGTGGGGCAGATGGGGCAGTGGAGACATCAGTGTGGGTGCTGTTGCAATGGTCCAGGTGAGAGCTCGTGGCGGCACAATAGCAGAGGAAGGGTTCAAAAGGGGCAGATCGCATCCATGTTTAGGAATAAACTATGCAGGACTTACTGACAGATTCATTTGCTAAGAGGTTTTGGGCTTGAACAACTAAGTGAGTAATGGGGCCATTTTCTGGAATGGGAAGACCAGAGAGGAAAGCCATTTGGGGGTAGGGCAAACCAAGGATCCCCCTTTGGCCTTGGGAGGTTTGGATGCCTTCAGACATCCAGTGGAGCTTTTGGGTGAATGCACCTGGATCTCAGGGGTGAGGTCAGGACGGGAGAGAGCAGCACAGAGGTGCTACTCAAAGCCAGTGGAGTAGACGCGATGTCCTGGGAGAGAATGTAGAGAAGAGCCCAGGACTGAGCCCCTTGGGCCCCACAACAATTGGAGGTCCAGCGGGGGAAGGGGAAGGACTGGGGAGCTGGATGCGGTGTCCTAGAAGCCAAGAGGAGATGATGTTTCAAGGAGAGAGTGAGCAATTCTGTTCAGTGTCGATGAGAGGCCAAGTTCGGTGAAGACCCCAAAGCGACCAGAAGAATCCAGCCCATAACCTTGATTAGGGCAAACACTGTGTGCAGCATCCACCCCTGAGCCAAAGGAAAAGCTCACCAGAATGGAATATACCACTTCCAGCTGCCCAGGATGGGGTTAACCATAGAAGCAGAAGACAAGGATGGAGGGATAGAGATTTTCACTGCAGATCTTGGCAAGGGAGGCTGGGCCATCTCTGTCTCCCCCCTTTTAAAGACTGGAAACAGTTCCGTTTCAGCCCTCATCTGTGCCATTATTCATGAATAATATGATAGGTCCTGTGTTGATCACTGGGGACACGGCTGCGAATACATGACTTTGATCTTGACCCCGGGCAGTTTAAAAAGAGGTCAGAGACACTATAGCTCCTTATAGCCAACCATGGCCATGCTATGGTGGAAGGATACATCAGGGGCTCTGGGAACACAGTTGAAGGGTGAGGGAGAGCTTCACGGAGGAGGTGATATTTGGTCTGGGTCTTGAACAGGAGGTCAGCCAGCAGACAACAGAGTCACTGACATCCTGACAGAGGGAATGGAGACACGAGAGAGTATGTGGTGATGGGAAAACCACCCTTCCCTGCGTGGTTAGAGCAGAGTAACTGGAGAGGGAGGGGGAGCACTGAGACGTACAGGACCCAGGTCTTTATGGACCTTAAACTTAAAGCTAAGAAACTTGGACTTAACTCTGTAGGTCAGTATTTTCCCAAGAATGTCTTGTGAAACACGAATCTCAAATTTGCTCCGTAAAAAAAAAAAAAGAAAGAAAGAAAGAAAAAAAATCAATGAATCAATAAATTCTAGGATCAAACACACTTGGGACATGCTACAGAGCAGACCCTCCTGGGGATTCACCATGTTCATTAGCATTTGAAAGCTCAGAGAAGAACCTATAGAAGAAAGAGAGACAGTGAGAGAGAGAGAGAGAGAGAGAGAGAGAGAGGAGGGGGAGGGAGGGAGTGAGGAGGGGAGGAAGGGAGGAAAGGGGAGGAGAGAGAGAGAGAGAAAGAGGGAGAGAGAACAAAGAACACTTACCTTTCAATTTTCTAGATTTATGTCCCACGCTGCCCTCTGTTCATGTAATGAGCACTTGCATCCCCGCACAATTACTGCTCCTCGGGCACACGGATGGGGAGGGGGCAAGCTGAGCCAGGACTTGGGAATGTTTGCATTTTAAGCAATGATTCACCTGGAGGCAGAGGGCAGAGGGATGGCTGGTAAGAGGCCCCATTAGCCCTGGAACCCACAGATGAGGTCCAAGTTTACCCCTTTACCCTGGAACTAAAAATATCTCCACTGATTTCTTCAGCAAATATCTAATGAGCACCTTCTCTGGGCCAGCTGTGCTGGTGCTGGCAGTACAATAGGGACAAAATCAGACGCCCTTCCTGCCTCGTAGTGCTTCCTGGCTCACGGGCGCCATTCACACAATCACATAGGCTGAGGTTGAGGGAAAGAACACAGTCCGTAAGAAAGGAAACCTGGAATCAAGGAGGATTTTCCTTCACAAGCCAGACCCGGGCTGAGACGCAAGAGACAGGTAGGAATTAACTCGGCAAGGAGGGGTGGTGTCCGCAGGATGGCATTCTGAGCAGAGAGAACGGTGTGTGCAAAGGCCCTGTGGCGGGCAGGAAGATACCACAACTTCAAGGCAAAAGGAAAAACAGAAAAGTTGCCTCCTGGTCGCTCAGCAACTTTCACCGGCAGTCCTATTTGTGGCTATATATGTCTAGCCACAAATTAGAAATAAAATGCCCCCAGAGTGTGAGATTTGGATGCTCTCAAATGGAGGATGTCCAGAAAAATCGACCAAAAGAACACGTATTTTGTGCTGGAGTTTTCTGCTTAACAAAGGAGAAGGTGAGGCATGGAGAGGATCCCCAGGCACTTGGCGAGGACAGGGGATGGGATGGGGTTCAGCCCGCCGGGTTGGCCCAACTATTTCAAATCCAGTTCTACGAGGCCAAGCTTCCGTGCTCTTTGAGCACCTGCTTGGCACAGCATACGACCTTGCTCAGAAGGGGCCCTCTTTACCATCTCCTGAGTGATGAGGGTGAACCAAGCACTGAGCTGGGTGCTTCACGCACATAACCTCCTGTTGGCAGGCACCTGGGTGTCCCCACATTGTCCAATCTTGTGGCTTCACCCTGCTCTTACTATGTAAGCAAAATGGCCCCAGCATCTATGCCACAGGTGGTGGGGGACACTGCAACCCCAACAATACCTGCAGGGACTTCTATTTCTCCTAGACATCACGCGGCCGAATTCTCTGTCTCATCCGGGTCTCGGCCCCCCCACGCCCGTCACTGGAGTCTTCCCCCTGCCCCGAGCTAACCCAAAGAACGCTGCAGGCTTTCCTTTTGATTCCTCAAAGCAACCATGAGTGCCGTGCTCTTCCACCCGAGTGAGTTCTCCTGGAGGTCTGAGGACCATGACAGTGGCTACACAGCACAGCATGTGACTTAGAAGTCAACCAGTGCTCTTGACCTCAGCCGTTCCCGGTAATGCTTCGTCGCCACCTTTCGTCTTTAAGCCTGTGGGTGCTCGCCATCTTGCTCGGACCCCCTGTCTCTCAAAAGCCTCCTGGCCTCTCTTCCCTCGTTTCCGGGGGAAGCATATCCCTCATCCCCCCACCATCTCGGGTGTCCCGAACTGGGTTCACCAAGAGGCAGAGCTGAGACAGGGATTTGGGTACGAGTGACTCATTTGGGAAGTGCCCCCAGGAGGCAAAGCTAAGGGGATGGGGATGACAGGGGGAGGGAAGGGAGCCGGTACAGAGAGTGTTAACAAACGGGTTGGCACCGTGGGCACCCGGGGCTCGGTGGCACTGGACACCCCTGGGAGACGGTGTGGAACACGCCTCACAGGTGGCCCCCCCAAGGGTCAGAGAAGCCGTGTTTAGCTGTCACCTTGCATCCATTGCTAGCTGAGGGCTGCTCTCAGCGGCACCAGCTCCAGCCTGTACCTGGTGCAAAGCGAGAGAGAGCCCTCCGTCGGAGGCTTGCGGGACATTGCAGAAGGACAGCACTGACGGCTGGGGGACTGGGCAGGGCGCCACAGCCCCTGCTACGACGGATCGAGGCAAGGTCACACGCCACCCGTGGAGTCCACGCCCTTGGATGGAGGGGGCGGCCAATCTGCGCTCCAAACGCAGCCATCGAGTCATAGGACGTGTCGCTCCAGGACCCGTGTCCCTTTCCCAAAAGAAGGAAGGGCCCGTCCACAGCTGTGGTTTGAAAGGAGCTTTCGCTTCAATACACCCTGAGGGAGGCACCTACCATGACCCCCTTGCTATAAACTAAGTAACTGAGGCTGAGACAGGCAGTGAGGAAACCACAAAGCCAAGATTAAAGCACACACGTTCCTCACCGTATGGTCTCCTAGAGCCCGGGAGCAGCACTTGGGTTAACAGCTTCTCAACACGACAAACACGTCAGCCAAACGTTGCACATTTACAAGCGGGTCCTTCTCACTACCATCCTGGGCGTGCAGGGCAGAGGGCTACCGCCGTGCCCAGTTTACTAACGAGGAACCGGAGGCATGACAGATTCAAGCCTGGTGCCCCAGTTCCCACGGACTTGAGCCACGATGTCGGACAACAAATTCCAGCCCCCTTAACTCTCTAGGAACACCAAGAGCTGACGGCTGCAAGGCAAATCCGTGATCAGCAATCAGCGAAGGTTACAACTACGCCACATGGGGAGTCAGGCATGACCTTCTGAGACAAAGGGCAGCCTGTCATCCAAACTGTCCCCACCACCACCATCGGTAATGGGAGCACTATGGCAGGTGCTCCCCAGCTTGTGGTGCTGAGTAATCAGTACACTCTCAGAAGAAAATAGGATCTAAAGAAGAACTCTCAAAAAGCGAGGGGGCCCCATCACCTCTCACCTCCCCCCTGCACCCATCCTCCACCCCGCAGCCCGAGCAGTCCTCCTGCGACACAGACATGACCAACGCCTCCCTGCCTAAAACTCTTTTTTTTTAAGTTTATTTATTTATTTCAAGAGATAGAGAGCATGAGCGGGGGAGGGGCAGAGAGAGAGAGAGAGAGGGAGAGAGAGAATCCCAAGCAGACCCCACACCATCAGCACAAGAGACCGACTCGGGGCTCAAACTCACGAACTGTGAGCTCACGACCTGAGCCGAAAGCCAGAGTCAGAAGCTTAACCAACTGAGCCACCCAGGGGCCCCTCCCTGCCTAAACTCTTCAGTCACTCACCATTGTCCTCAGGACGAAGGTCAAACTTCTGAGCGCAGGGCACGTGACGTCTCATCACGAGGGTCTGCCTCCCTTGCCCGCCTCGTCTCTTTCCCGCCCCTGAGCCGTGATCTCAGGATCTGCCCTCCCGGGTGCCCTGCCAGGTAGGGCTGGGATCGGAGTCGTCCCTGTGTCTCAATGGCCAGTAGGGACCATGAACAGACAAATGAGGCGGGTCCTGAGCCGTGTCTTTCCAGATGAAGGGTTGAAGGAGCAGAGGCAGCTGGTGGGGAGGGGCAGCTCCGAGGGACAGGAGCACAGGCACTTGTCTTGAAGGAGAGTCTGCCCGTGCCGGAAGGACAGGTGCTGTCAGCGAGAACGCCGCCTCCCTCTGGTGACCTTTCCCGAAGACATTTCCTCTGAATGTCAGGTTCGTTAGACACAGGATTGGGGGTGCAGGAATCACTTTAGAACTGAATTAAAGAAGGACAGACAGATAGACATCATCCAGGTTTTTGGTGACAAGCCAGCTTGGAGGGTGAAGGGACACACTCTGCCTACGGGCCACTTTTGTCCTTCTCAGACGGCAGGGTCTCCTGTCAGGGCCATCCCTCCCTTCAGAATGGGGTTCCCAGCACCACCATCCCAGGGTCCGTCCCAGGGTCCCGGGGCCAGCTGTACCTAGAATGGGCCCTCAGTCCCCAGGGCTCACCAAGTGACTAACCAAGACCTGGAGTCCTAGGGACCCCGGGTCTTGAAGCATGTTGCTCACACAACCCCACTCCTCAGGCCCAGTGTGAGTGACCCAAGGATCTGTGTGACTCAGAACCCACTCTGGGTCACTCCATGCTGAACACTGGGGACACAGAGGTAAATCAGATATTTGCCCTACCCTCAAGGGGCTGCACGTTTCATAAAGAAGACACAAAGGTACAGCAATGTTACCAGATGGTGGGCTCGGTGCCACGGCAGGTCTCTAGGCAGAGAGCTGTGAAGGGCTTCCCGTGAGAAGGTACCTCTGAGCTGGGCTTTGAGGGATGAATAGGAGTTTGTCCCCTGTCTGTTCTTTCCAGGAGACACCGGTTTCCAAACCCAGAACGGGCTGCTTCTGTGAGCGCTGAGCTCCCTGGCACTGAAGAGTTCGGGATGACTGATCCCTTGGCCCTCTGGTCCCGGCTTCAGTGCCGTGGAGCGTGGTCAGGGCATTGGAGAGCAGGAGACCCACGGATCTCGCTCCTCCAGTTCTCCTCCACAGCCCCTTGGCGTCACTGACCGCGCGGTAATGCACGCTGGGCCCCTTCTGCTCCCAAACCCACAGGCCTCTCCTGTCTGCTGCCCCCACGGCTCACAGGAACCGGTCCCCTGTGCCATCTGCTATGGCCCCATGTGTTAGTGGCCAGGCCCAAGCTGGGCTAGCGCGGACAGGGACAAGACGCAGAAAAGCAGGAGAACCTGCAGGCTTCACTCCCACCCCCCACGTACATATGCGGGCACACACGTGCACACACCCCGTCCTCAGAACCTCACCCCCTATCCGCCCTGCCTCCAGCTCCCTGCAGACCTCAGTGCTATCCTAGCGTTGACCTTACTGGACCCCGCGGCTCTTCCCGGGGCTGCTGGCCGGGACACCACCGCTCTCCACCCCGAATGCCGAACGTCCCCCTCCACCAGGCTCCTGGCTCTGCCCCCTCCACAGCTCCTCAGCTGCCAGCTCTGTCTTCACGCCTCCCGGAGAAGCAACTGTCAGCATGTTTCTGTGGCTGGGGATGGGAAAGGCGGAGACAGAGGGGCACGGGGAAGGGAGAGACGGCGAGGGGAGGCAGGTGGGGAAGCAGAGACAGAGACGGGGAAAGAGGGGGGGGGAGGGTCAGGGGCCACCCTGATGGGAGAGGAGTGGAAAGAACAGACTGGAGAAAGCCGCTCGGGCCTGGGGCTGGAAACGAGGACTCCCAGCTCCGTCACCCTCCGACTCTGCAGCTCTACTCGGGGAGGTGGCCACGGGGCCGACAGAGGGAACTAGGCGGATTGTGGGCACAGGAGCTTTTGCTTGCCTCTCACGCCACCGGGAGATGCCCACCACGGCCCAGCCCCGGGTCGTCTGCCCGTGTCCTCTCGGCCTGCGGCGGGCCGGGCCAGGCACACCCATCCGCTCAGAGATTGTCTGTCCCCCACAAGCCTGTTCCTTCTGTCCTGGGGCTGGCTTTGTGGGGCGGGGGGGGTGTCTGGAGGCACTGGGGAGAGCAGCCCCTCTGCCCCTGGAGACCCCAAACACAGGGAGACGGGAGTTCGCTGTGAGAGAGGACTCAGCCAGAGACAGAAACGAGAAAGGGATAGAACAAGAAAGACCGTACCGTAGGCCAGTTGCACAGACAGAAGCCAGCCCTGAAGACATGGAAATGTGACCCAACGCGCCCTTTCCGGCGTGACCCAGGCTGGGAGCTGAGGACAGAGAGGCTGATTATATGGTCACCCATGCTGACCCTCCCGACCACCTGCATACTGTCATTAAGCCACTTCACAGGAGGGGAAACTGAGGCTCCGAGAGGCGAGGTGACTGGCCCAAGAGCCAGGCCGGAACTCCTGTCTGAGCAGCACCAGAGCTCATCCTCTTTCTTGTGCACCTGCCTGCCTCCCTGTGGGTACAGACAGACAGAGTGAAAAAAGGACAAGTCAGAGCGCTCACGTGGGTATCGGCTCAGCCCCGGAGCCCAGAGCTAGGGTTTCCAGAAAAGCCAAGCAGTGCAGCGGATGGTTGGACCCCCGGCTCGGGGCCCCACTGCCTGGGCCGAGCGTGTCGCCCATTTCCTTGCCCCTCAAAGTGAGGCTAGGAAAAGCGTAGAGTCACAGACATCGCGTGAGGTTTAAATGAGGTGACTGCAGAGTGCTTAGAGTGGTTCCTGGCCCACAACCAGTGCTTGACAAATGGTAGCGCCTGGTATGACTCAGGGAGAAGCATCCTGGCTGAACAGAGGGAGGAGCGGGGCGGGGGAGGGGGGCCTAGAAAGGCGGGAGGATGGGCGGTGAGATGGCACCATGTGGCCAGCGGGGCCTCGTGACGTCCCCACCCCCATCGCTCTCTCTCCTGAAACGCTTGGCGAGGCTGGATTTGCTGTGAAAACCACCTGAATTTTTCAGCCAGGTGGGCTTGAGGTGACGTGGTGGGGACCAGAGACCCCAGGCGCCTGGATCGCGTGGCAGTCCCGGAGAAGTCACGGACCTCCCCCGGCCACAGGAGTTGGGAAGATCCCCCCAGTCTTAACTCAAATGCAAGAGCAAGGAGGCATCCGCGGGGCGCCTGGGTGGCCCAGTCGGTTGAGCGTCTGACTTCAGCTCGGGTCACCGTCTCGCGGTTCATGAGTTCGAGCCCGCGCCTCGGGCGTGCTGCTGTCTGTCAGCACAGAGCCTGCTTTGGATCCTCTGTCTCCCTCTCTCTCTCTGCCCTTCCCATGCTCTCTTTCTCTCGCGCGCGCTCTCTCAAAAATAAATTAAAAATTTAAAAACAAGAGCAAGGAGACATCCAGCTGACATCTGGGTTGAACAAACTAGTGAGACCCGTACGGTGCCGGGGGCCGGGTGGGTGGCGGAAACAGTAAGGCCCGCTGATGCCCATAGAGCACTCCCCATGCACCGAACGCTGAGCAAAGTGTTTCACACACTAACTTATGCAACCCTCAAAACAATCCCATGGCGTTGGCGCCATTATTGGTCCCGTTTGACGGGTGAGAAAACCTGGGAACAGAGAGGTTGAATGACCTGCCTAACGTTGCACAGCGAATCAGTGGTGAGCTGGGAGGCAGAGCCTGAGGGCCAGGCTCCTGACTGCACCCGACTCTTATTGCCTCATGTGGCACGAAGGGTGGGCGATGAGAGAGAGCCACCTAAGAGCTTCCTGGAGCTCAGGTCTGCAGATGGGGTCAGCGCCCAAAGGTGAAGACCCAGCCAGGAGCGCTCCTGTCCCCGAGAAGCCCCAACAAGCCCAGAGACCGCCCCACTATTTACCAGGCACTGATCCCTGATCCTGGGGAAAAGTTAAGTGTCAGGGTTGGGCCAGTGGTGCCAACTTTGGCCAAACGTGTCACAGGCCAGCAGCTCTGAACCTACACGGCACTGTCCCTCCAGGCTGGGCCATGCTCTCCAGCGAACACTTGGCTGGCCACGCCTGGCCCCCACCCTCTCCCAGTACCCCTCCCCCGCCTCCATCCCACTGCTCAGATAATGCCACCATCTGGGGCCCATCTGCAGGGAGCCTGCCTGCTTGTTAGAGAGGGGGTATCTCCCATCTGTATCCCCCAGGAGCATCCTGGGACTCCAGAAATCCCAGGAGAGATCAGGGCATAAAACAGCCCCGTTAGCGTCCTGCCAGGGAGGCTGTGGGCCACGCACCCAGGTCAGTGAGTCAGACAGGTCAGTGCAAAGAGGCAGCTCCCTGTGGTGGAAAGAGTATGGACTTCAGAACGACGTGGGGTCGAATTCTGAATCACCCCCATTGGACGGGGGCTTTGGGCAGGTCGGTTCGGTGGTCTGAGCCAGTTTGCTCATCCGTAACATGGAGATAACAGAGGACAGTCACCAGAACTCCATTCGATCATTTGTGTGGCCCTTGCACTTAGAACAGGCACAGGAAAGATGTTTGTGGAACGAATGGATGCGGCCAACCCGATGGCCACCCTGCCTTCCCTCTTGCTAACAGACCCCAAATTCAGGCCCAGCAACAATGGTGCCTGATGGCTCTAAATAAGTCATGCCGACACTGTTCCCCTTTACCGTGAATGGGGTGGGCACGTGACCCAGTTCTAGCCAATGAGATATAAGGGAAAGTCACCTGAGGATCTGGGGACAGGTTTCCATCCGGGACGAAAGGAGGGAGGCGCAGGAACAGGGCTCTCCTTCTTCTGGACCTTTCTTCCTCCTCACGCCTTCCAGGCTGCTTTGGGAGGTGAGGTATTTGCAGATGACAACTGGTAACCACAGGAAATGTCACCGTTAGCGAGGATGGCAGAAGAGAAAGAAAAGAACGTGGCTCCTCAGGGATATCATTCAGCTGCCAGATCCACCCGGCACCTCCTACCTTAAAATTTCTTGTTTGTGAGCAAGAAATACCCGCTAGGTTCAAGCCACTTATTTGGTATGCAAAATCTTACAGCCGTAAACATTCCTATCTGATGATACAAGGGCCAGTGAGTGAGTGAATGAATGAACGAATGCATGCATGTCTCGTAGCCTGAAAATAATTGCGCGAATGTTTGTCATTATCGACAATATTAATACGGTAACACCTCATTTATTCACAATTATCAGCAACAGGCTTTTGCTCAAAAGGAAATTTTCGAGATAATGGGAGTTTACCCCCTTTAGGCACCAAAATACTACTTTGATTTTAACCCTTTTTGATTTTTAAAAATCGCCTGAAATGTATCACACCCCCCTGTATCTATCCCCTCTCACTGCACCCCCCTCAACACACACACACACACACGTGCACACACATGCACACGTGCACACACACACACACACACACACACACACCAGGGGACGCCAAGCAGGAGTTAAGCTTAGCTTGGATACCGGGCTCACCAGTGAACACGCATTGCTAAAGCGTCACCCAGCATTCCCCTGGGGCTGGCAGAGGTGGGGCTCCTGGAGCTACTCTAAATTCCAGAGTCATCACCCCTCCCAGGCCCTCCCCATCAAGCTTCTAGACGGCACAGTGACACCTCTTGCAACCCTTCCCTGCTTGGACGGATTTCTCTGTTCTGGGCTGTGAAGCCAGGTCACCCATTCGCCAGACTTGTGTGCCACGTGGCTTCCGGCAAAGGCCCCTGACCAAGACGCTGCTGTAAACATACCAGATCCCAGAGGAGGAAGGCCTGGATCCTGCCCTAAGGAGAGGATCATTCTTTTTTTTTTTTTTTTTTTTTTTTTTTTGAGAAATCTTTACTGAGCACCTGCTAGCTGAGGCAGTAGAAGCTAAGAATGCAAGCTTTGGAGCCAAAGATCCAAGTTCAAATCCTGACTCTGTTTACTAGTGGTGTGAACGTCGGGCAGGTCACGTCACCTCTCTGAGCCTCGGTTACCTTCATCTATATAATAGAACTAATAACGGTACCTTCCATGCAAGGATGATGCAAGGAATCCATAAGCTATTGTGCTTAATGCTCCTCGTAATGTCTTTTACTTGGTAACTTCTCAACAAAAATAAGATATAGTCATTATACAGTGGACTTGTTTCTGGGCGGTGGAGAACAATGGCTGATAAGAATGGCAAGGCTTGTGACCCCAGCAAAGTAACAGCTCATCAGGTAGACCAGATGTTTTCTAATACACATGAATAAATGCCAATTGGAGAAGCCTGGCACAGAGACGGGTCAGAAACCCGAAGGAGGGTCTAGATCCCAGACTGGAGAGGCCAGAGAAGGTTTCCCAGATATCGATGCCGGGACAAAAAAGTTAGTGGGTGTC